ATGCAAGGAGGCTGCTTCAGTTTGTGGCACAAATTATTTCTTGATTTTTTATTTTTTTCGTGGGACCAGTAACAAATTGAAATGAAGTAGTCCTATTTGGCGACTTACATTTCTCCAGGACCACTTCACATGAATTTTTACTGGTCCTAAGGACCAACTTCTCAATTTTCGGGACCAAAACCTCTGTTTGTGACATAATATTAATAACGTAGTAATAATTATAATAAATAGGTCGAATACCTCATCTATACAATGTACATGTATAAAGCTTTATTTTAAGAAATTGTAGGATGTACAAAAATAGGCTGTTCGTATATAAAAAAATGAAAATCAAGCCCCAACATTTTAGTTGGTTTCTTTGCGCCAATATAAATATCAAGTCCATGTTTACGCAGAGTCCATTGAAGCTTCTTCTTCTTCTTGTAGTCGTTGATCTTTTTCCATTTTCACCAGACAAAAAGTTGCAAAAACTGCACAAGGACATAATATTGCAATCAGAACAAAATACCACTTGGTACACATTTCTCCATAACAATCTGTTGATCCAGTTGAACTATACGTTTCATAGTTTAATGCAAAAAGCTTTTGAAATACGACTATCCCAATTCCATGACCCGTTGCAACCAGGCCGTAGTTTTGCCCGAAGTATTTCATGCCGAAAAAATCCATAGTTAGTAAATTAAGTTGTGGATAGAAGGACCCATACGCCAGAGACATCAATACAGAGGATATAATCAAACAAATGTAGCTTTGATCAAAAAATGAAAAAGGTAACTGCCCGATAAATGATAGAATGCATGGAAATAACAGAATTGACGATTTTGGAACGTCTGGCCATTTCTGAAAAATGTAATCCGGTAGTGCCGGACCAAGAAATCGCGCTGTTGATCCAAATATTGGAATCATGACTGTAAATATTGTTGATTTGGTATCAAACTTTGCGGATTTCACGACCGTTGTGATGTTATTTAAGTATGTACCACCAGCTCCACCTATAAGAATGCAAATTACCCAAATGAAATAAAACTTAGGAGTTTGAAGAGTTTCCCAAAATTTCATATCCACTGGTCTTGTTATGTTCTTTGGAACGAGTGTGACTCTATCGTTGATGTCCTTTATTGCATCTGAAGAAACCATGTTAAGTTCATAGTTTGTTCCATAATTAGCTTGTTCTTCATTTTGATTTGTTCTGCACAGTTTGGATAGTTCAAAATCACCAGGTATATCTGTTTCTTGTTGGACCGTCTCTAGCATTACGACAGCATATAAATTTATGCACGCTGAGAGTACTGCAAGCATAATCATATATTCTCCCAACTTCTGATTTTCCGGATCTTCAATATGCCCCTGTACAAACAATGCTTCATAGAGGGCGCTGAATATTGATGGGCTCACGCCGTATATAACATTGAGTAGCCCAAGAACCTTGCCCATATGTTTTCGGCCAAAGTTTTCGCAGGTTACAACGGACGTCGATATAAGAATAAACATGGTTCCTTCTATGGCCATAAAGTAAAAAATACATAAAAGCCAGTTGTTCGAAGAGAAGAATATTCTGTATTCTGTTGCCAACCACATAAGTACGAATCCCATTGTCGTGAGAATAAGTGAGGTTATATTTGCAGCCCTGGGTCCAAAAGTGTCGAAGAAAATACCTGCCAGAAATGATACAGTAAATCCAAAGTCTCCACTCGAAGCTATGTATTCCAGTTCAGTTTGAGTATAGTTGAATGTCTTTTTCAGGGCAATCGCATATGCATTAAATCCTAATAAAAAGCCTGCCAAGAACCAACCAAGTATACCTACACTCAAAGAAATATACTTCTGGAGTTGTGGATGACTTTTTATTTTCATATTGCTATTCTTGTGGGTTTTGTGTTTCTGAAAACTGACCAGTAATTGATTTATCCATTGGTCTAACTTATTTGTAAATCTTGCCAACCATTTTCTTTCTATGTGAACTTTACCTTAACATAATTGTAAAGCTGAGCTGTGCATATGTTTTAATGATGTGTGCGTATATAAGGTTTGGTAAAAACGTGTCCGCCCTTTTTGGCTACGTATAGCGTAGACTTTACACAGGATCAAATTATGGATACAAATTATTTACGTGCCCTTAAGCATGTATCGATTTTAAAACATAAAAACTACACAGTACAATGACTGTAAATGTTTAAAAACATTGGTGACAGTTTTTAACTAAAGGATAAAATAAATGGTTGGTTACAGTACATAATTAGCAGTAATCTGCAACAAGTCTGCTTGATTTTCTTCTTAACCAAAGTTGTTTTTAGAACAAGTGAGACACACTTATCCCGCTCCTATTATAACATGGAATTTTATGATATCTAGGATTATTTGGACAATATTACGGATACTACAAGATACATGAATACATCAGGATAATGGATATGTGAAAATATTTACTGAATTTTGTACGGTTATAGAGATATTTAGGAAAGAAAAATACAAGTTATGTGATATTTTTATGAATCAACAACAAAGGTCAAAAACAGTGTACTTATACTGCAACATTGGAACACCATAAACTAGCTACTTATTGGATTTTAATACCAGTTCTCTATACAAACAGTAGGCCACTTTGACTATGCTTGATTGAATACTATATCTAGTACTTGTCTGACTGGATTTAAGTTATATATAGCACTGTTTATCATCTACAATATGGCACAATCAACACAAACATATATTACCCAGTATGCAACCTCAATAACAAAAGCAGCTGATCAAAATGGACCATCACCATTCAGTTTACCACTTATATCTTCAACCCTTACATCAGTAACTACAACCAGTGTTATTTCCTCCACAGCCTCATCGACCAACACTACATTCACAGTTCCAGCCATTGAAAATATGTCTGGCAGTTTCCATTCGTTGACATCAGGATCCCCAGCTCCATCTTATGATTTACGATTAAAATCACATGGATATGCAATTTCTCAACCTTTGGATATCTATCATAAACAACCATTAGTTCTAAATGAGTCGCATCTCTATCAGGAACGAAAGCCTCAGGAACATGGAGCTACAACACTGATAGACAATGGTCAGACTGGTACATCACATACACCTAGCTCAGATCTACATGAAATAGTAGCAGCTATTGAATCTCAGATCAGTTCTTCTCTAGATAAACTGATCCCTCAATCCATTAACCGTTCCATGACAGAATACAATGAACGACTTTGTAATGTTGAAACAGTTTTAAGTCAGCATGAAACAATCATTGACTCATTTGAATCTGATATGATGACGGCCAATGATAAAATCACTGTCTTGAACAAACGTCTATTAGAAGCTGAGGTAGATTTAAATAGAAATGAACAATACTCGCGTAAAACTAACATTAAAATAACTGGGATTGAAGAAACTGCTAATGAGGATTGCAAGGCATTAGTCATTGGTGTTGCTGAGAAAATAGATGCAAACATTTCTCATTCTGATATTGATGTTTCGCATAGAGTTGGAAGTAAGGCACCTGGTCGAAAAAGGGCACTCATCGTCAAATTCAATACCAATGATCCAAAACATCGCATGATAAAAAACAGGAAGAAACTGGCAAAATCTGGGATAGCTATCCATGAAGATGCAACAGTGAAGAATGTGCAGCTGATGAAAACTCTAAGATGTAAAGACTTTGTAAGAGACTGCTGGATGTTCAATGGCAAGATTTTCTGCTCATTCGAAGGGCTTCACAATCGTCATCGTACGGAAGTGGACATTCACTCAGATCCATTTGAAATATATCAGCAACTTTTGAATAACAAATCCAGTGGGTAAATCGACTGATTGACGATATATAAATAATGATTAAGACGATAAAATGTATGTGCTACATGTAGGTCAGACATTATTTACTACTACTTGGGACTTATAAATTGTCACATTAACATGAATGTCGTTGGGCATATTTGTTCATTTGTGTATATCATGTGTGCTAATAATTGCCCTGTCCATTTACTTATGTTTATATAACTGCAAACTTAGTGGACTCTTCACACATTCACTGGAATCATATCAAACTTCCCATCTGATCCTAGGATAGAGATAAACATGAATTCTAGAATAGACAACTGATGAAAAGTATAAATAACTTTCATTGCACAGAAGTATCTGGATCATGTCTTCTGAAATGGCTTTAGATAAACATAATATATGTGTCGCTTAAAGCAAGAATTTATTTCAGTTTTTGACGTTTTATAAGAACGTCATTTATTAACTTAAATTAAAGTTTCAATTATTCTTATATATCAATACATATTGTACATATTCTGCTAATGTATGTGTGGGTATAAGCATCTGCAAATGATGCCACCTACTATATGTAATTATATTAATACTATGAACTATTTACATGAATAAATTGAATTGAATTGAATTGAATTTTCTTCCATTAAGTAAAAATCCATCTTTTAACATTGCCCAACAACCCATTATGCAACTTTTCACCACATGAAATTTAAAAATATAGAGTTTGAAAATTCCAATTTTATATTGGAGCCCAATGAGAAAAATGTTTTAATCTGGATTAATTTCAAATATAGCGGCGCAATTTTTTTTGAAGACTGGATTTTATCTATCCCACATCATTTGAGACTGAATGGTCCATATTTTATGCGTACTTGTATCTACAACTATTTTTGAGGTTTTGAGTATTGGCTATCAATTTTTAATTCTTTCTTCAACATATTGAAATGATGACTTCAGTCAGTATGAATGAAATTGATGTTCTGGTCTTGGATTGTGATATCGTTTCTTGAATGGTGGGGGAAAGGGGGTATTAGACATTGTTTCTTTTCAAGTTAGATCATGGTTTTGGGCTATATGGGGTTTGTTTTTCTTGACAGGTATACACTTAAGAGTTTGCTTTTTCTTGCTAAGTTCCGTTACAACTTTTGGTCCTTTCCCTTTGGCACTTCTTTGAAAATCACAGAAATCATTTGTAATGGTAAGATACATGGTTTGACCTGAAATAAAAAATACCATCCCGTTTACGCAAAATATAAAAAAAAATTCATTAAAATATGTGGAAATAGATTTAAGGGGGTGACTTTCATTATTCACATGACATTTAATATTACAGGGTAACCATAATTTTGGTACTGATTTGATTTTTCAATGAAAATCATTTTTATAGTGTATTCAGTTTAAATAATACAATTGCTATAATTCTTTACTGATCAGTGTAATCATTTATTTGTTTATCAACAGTATCAAACTTCATATTATACAGTAAGTAAAATATTAAAATAATTGTTTAAAATTAAAGCATTGAGATGATACTTAAATAATAACATATTTTATGATTCATATGCTCATTCAGCTGTTACTTGCTTGTTGCATAACAAATGGTAACAAAATAGATATGTTTGTTGCGGTTAATTTATTAGCACTTTATATATGTGCAAAGAAAACATATTGTACATGTTATACCCAAAAGTGGCCAGTCCTCCCTCCGAATTGGAACAATCTTAAAGACATTTTTAACGTCACATTTACCACATATTTGGACCATTTCTGTTATGTCATCGATGGTCTGATAATGCACAGCAGAATCAACTTTCTCAATGCCATCATTAATTGAATTTCCACGAGGGAAGATTAAGCCGTGAATAATTCGATATTCATCTTTTTCCTTTTTGGGTACCAAGCCTATAGGACTAATTCTAATCCCAGATGCGTCATTTGGAAGCAGACAATCTGCCCTGAGTTAGTTCTTTAGTAATGTATGAAATCACTATCTCTGGCATTTTTAAGGCAGAGTGATGATTGTTTGTAACAATGACAGAATCTTCCCTGTTTCCATTGTATATCAAATCGAACCCGTTCTTAAAACCATTGACAAGATAATCGTATTTAATTTTGTCATAACCGTATAATAAGGCTTGGAGAACATTGGTGTAAACCGGGGTACATAGTGTTTTATCATTGAAGTAAAAATGCGCATAATATTGGTAATTATCAGGGGAACCATTTGCCTTATTACTTATTGTTTCGACTTTTTTGGTCAGTAACGGTCTGGTTAGAATTTCCGGGGGTAGAACATTGTTTTGAAGGGTGATGGTCTGAGTTTCATTTTGTGCAGGTGTGAGAGTAGGAGCAGTTTCGTTTAAAACATTTCCCGTGTTAGCGAACCTGTAGCATTTACCCTGTTGTTTGCGATTTTGGGGCTTATTGGACTGGTAGTCACGAAAACGAGAATTTTTCACCTTTTGAGCTTTTTTGTAAAGCTCCTCAGATCTGTAATCCCAAGTAAAATTACACGATTTCTTGTGAATTATAAATGCCTCATCGTACGATTTGGCTGCGGGGAAACCTTCATCAAATGCCAATTCGCGCACTTCTTCGGCGTATTTTAGCATCGATGCTATTTGATTTTGATTTTCGTCATCGCTCAAATAAATAGCCATAATAATGTAAACATGAAATGCTGACGTCCATTGCGCTATAGATTTTATTTCGTTCTTTGGTTTACCATCATTAATTGAAACCGTAGTGGATTTGTCATGTTTGAAGGTGAAATTCAATGAATCTTGTTTTATTCCCGACTTAGACAATAAATGCGCTATATTGAAATAAGTATCAGATAGAATGCATTTCTTATACGTTTTGTCAACCCCATCAGCCAGAGGAATACCTGCTTGAATTGAGATAATTGGGAGGTTTTTCGGGAGTTACAGCAGCATTTGACTCACCTGATATGATTGCATTGATAGCTTGAACCATTGATGTGAACTTGTTCATCTCAGTCGTACAGTCCCCCTCAGTTTCACTGCTAGAAGTGTCACTTTGAGTATTTGGGACAGAGACATCTTTTGAGGCATTACTTGTGCTAGGGGCCTCGTTGCGGATGTCAACATCGTCTCTTATAATCTGCATTTCCTCACGAACTATTTGAGCTATTTGGTCTTGAAGCGACAGTTCAGCAGTAACCTTTTTTGGTTTCCGTGCTTTCTTCGACGATGACGCTGGTGGGTTAACCCTTGGGGGTAATGACCGTTTTGCTGAATTTGATTTGGGCATGGTCGTGGCCGCCTATATATGCCTGAAAAACACAATGCACCACGAAAGTATTTGCAAATTACATTACATAAACAAAATATGAAATTGACTAAAATAAAAGACTGAATTCTGGTTCTGAAAAGAATGCATCTTGACCTTAAAAACAATTAGGACAACTGCTGTTACAGAGCGAATAAATCACCCATTACTTGCATCCTATCAAGCTACAAACAAGATTATAAATAGAAAAACAGGTCAACAGGCCGTGAGACCTAGGGTCTACACCCGGGGGTCTACAGTGGTCTCGTGCTAATTGATAAGAAACAGCATTGTTCGAAACATGAAATCATGCGCGGCACTTGTACTGGCCTCGTTGCGGGTGTCATTATTAAAGCTCTGTCACGATTAAAGCTCTGTCCCAACTTGATACATGCTTGAAACATATCTGCCATCAGCAGCTAATTTAGCACAGGGCACTTCCAGTACATAACATTGAAGCTTCAAAGCAGAATCTAACAATCACGAAGGAATCAGTGTTCTCAACGTAACTGTACATCTGGCACAAAATAATGACAATAAGTGTATATATAAATCATTATAAACCGTGAAAGTAACTATACGAATGTAAACATGTACTTTTACATATACATATGGAACCATGAACAAATGTAAAACAATTTTAGATTATACACACTATTACGAATTGCAATCAGTTCCCTCCTAATATTATGAGCAAAACAATTATTGCCTAAATTAGAAAGGTGAATTCCTTTTGCTTAATATTTTCCACAAGTATTGTTCATAAAGCCGTTATTCGGATATACCAGAATTTTTCCATGAAAACCTTGCAGGTCGGACAATTTTGCATTTTCTCAAAGTCATCAAACCCAACCTTCGGCAGCAATCGTTTAAACACGTGTCCAATGCATACAATGCGGATATTATCGTAACCTTCCACAATAAATTGGGCAATACTTTTTATGGCCGTAAATATTTTTTGTATATCAACATTGTAGTTATTTAAGTCATTGTCGCCTAACTGCAAGTATACCACCTGTGGATTTACCAGTGTCATTTGTTCACATAGGCATGCCACCAATGTCTTCTTTTGAAACCGTGAACGAGATTTAGGTGTCCACTCAAAGGTACCGCCTCGGATACCACAATATGCAATGTCAAATTGGTTTGAATATAATCCTAAGTTTTTCAGAAATTTCCTTTGATATTGATCAAGCCAATATATGAGGGAATGTCCAAATAACAAAACAGACAATTCGCTCATGGTTCTCTAACTTTAATGAAAATGGCGTGCAAAATGACGGAATGCACTCACCACGTTTACTTCTCAGTCAATAGAGAGGTTTCGCAAAACGAAGTAGCTAAAACGTATTCGCATCCGAATCTCGTTACGTTTACGGTGACGTATTTCGATAATTTTCGTTTCGCAGTTCGTTTTTTAAAGTACGTAATTCTATAGTTTCTAAATAGCTGAATAACGCTGACATAATAGATGTCACCCTTGTTTGTCTTTGATTTTCTTGGGCCAATCCTCCATTCACTTCAATGCTAGAAACGTGCAATAGTCACTTAATTTCATGATTTATCAAGTGTTGGTTAAATCTGTTTGAAACTCGAATGACTAACTATTGCATGACCCTGTCAACGTACACATTGTGATTAAATGTGAAAATATTGGTTGTCATACATATAAGCCCAGGTTTTAATGGATTTTATCATTGTTCCAATGGAGATTTGGCCCAAGGAAAATGATTTAAATGACACGTTAATGCTGAAATGACACGTTAATGCTGAAGTGATAGATTTGTATAGAATTGTAACAGAAATGCACTATTTCTGTTTTATATTTATATTTTAGGGAAATTAAATCAAAAATGTTTGGACTGGGTCATAATTAAATGTTCACTATTTTAGTTGAGTCAAATACAAATGTTGGTTTCATAAATTCTTTGAAATTCCCAGTTCATAAATCAATGCATGCAGATCTGAATTCAATGCTCTGACCATTATAGCCCTTTGTCATAAAGATTCTAATGTTTGTAAAACAGAGCTGAATATTAAATTCACACGCTCAGTAGCATGTTGTTCAGATTTACTCTTTCACTCGAATTTATTAATTGCCACAAATCAAATGAGGCTGATATTTCACATTTTGTTCACTATCAATTCTATCAGTTTGGATGCCACTCTGAAATATTTAATTATAAAGCCTTTGTTTATTGGAAGACAAATATACTGCTATTGTCCCAAGATGCACATGTACATCTGTGAGAATTCTCTCCTTGGTGAAATCATCCCACCCACAGACAAAGAATATTCTATGATGGGTGTAGTTTAGTGCAACTAAATATGTATTTTTAAATGCTTGAATATGCATTGTTTATTAATCATGTAAATGTAATTAGATGTAACTAACTTTGATCTGATGTGTATCGACAGTTCCTGGAGAAACATTTATTTCTGACCACACAGGAATAGATTATATTCACCCCCCCCCCTCACTGCAGCAATTAAAGTGATCAATGTACACATTCCTTTGTTTGCCAATGCAGACACGTGGTTACAGGAGAGGCAAGGGTAGTGCCCCATAAATTAAACTGTCCCCAAAAATCTCTGTCCAATCGGATCTTCCTCCTAAGCAGGTATCCAGAATCCGTACCTCCTTCTTCCCCCTGCTATAACCAATTTGGAAGCGCCCGATTAAACTGAATCACGTGATCCAATTATGCGCAATGACTTATACATGATTTCTGTCGCAGTGTTGCGACAGCCAATCAGATTGCGAGTTCTTAATCGGGGAAATGCTTATTGCTTATCGCAGGGGGTAAAAAGAAAGAATATATTCTGGATTTTGAAGCCCTGTGATCGGAGGATGAATCGGATCAACCTGTTCAAATTGAGATCCGCCCTTATTCCAAGAACTCCAAGAACTGTATATATACTGATGTATGACTTTTAAATAAGAGAGTAGCTTTTAACTTTTAAAAATATCACACAAGCTTCTTAAGACAACGTTATAATCATTTTTTTTAATAGTATTTATTGCATGAATAGTATATTACAATTAACAAAGTGTAATAATGTCAATCGCCCTGAGGCATTACAGACATATTCACAAATAGATAAAATACATACAGGCAATAACTTGATTGGAAAATAAATGTAAAAAGAATTTAAAAAAGATGACGTTATAATCATGAAGATGTGATTTTGAATAGGATAGCTTTTAGCTTTACTAAAAGGATGACACGCAGCTTTCTTTAAAAAGAAGGAACTATTTTAGCTTGATAAAAGAACAATTTTGAAATACAGATAATATAACAGTGCTTGAGATGAAATAAAGATTATGCAAAATGTAGCAAGGAAGACGAAATAAACTTAGAAGTTGTGTCATCTACACATTTTCTATGTTTGCTATTATGGACCGAAGCCATGAACATTATTTTTTTAATTACGTTTAATTCCCGTTAAATGTTACAGAATACTCGGCATATAGTGAACATTATTGATATCTTCAAAACAATATTATCAAAGTCTGAGAGACTTCTTCATAGACCCGACGTCTATATTGGTGACTGTGGTATCTTCTATTGCCGTAAACCCTACTCGTCTTCTACGATATATTACATGACAGCTAGCATACTAATATTCAAGACTGTTTCTCATACAGGGTGTCCATAAAGGACTTATCTACAATAAGGACTATTTCATTTATAGTGAATATCATATAATTTTGTTTATATTTTGTTTGTGTTTGTATTTATAATTTACTTAGTTAAGGTAGTTTGTAAGTTAGTGCAAATAATTAATTTTTAGTTTTTTTTGTGAATAAACCTTAGTAAATTTATATGTCAGTGTTGTTCTATCGTGGTATAATTTAAATAAGAACCCGACCTTGTGACACTGGGGGCTCGTCCATAACCACAATTTAAGAACGCTTAGATATTGTTAGGTATTCATTTGAATATTTTTAAATCAATTAAGTTATATATATATATAAGATAGTTATAAAAATGTAAAAGGATGTGTGCTATTTTATTTAGTTTAATTCTCATATATATATACCACATATACACCTTGCGGACAAATTGTCTTTTATTGTATTCTTAAATATCAAACTGAGTACACTTTTTCATTGCGGGTAATATTCATACCTTACCTCATACCATAACTTTTATGCAAAAACAAAATGGCAGACAAAGGATTTATTGCTCAAGATCGAGTATCAGCTGAAAGGTCTGACGAGGGAAATATGTCTACAAATAGGAAAATACCTAGGATATACCGAAGAAAAGCTAGGAAATTTGTGTTTAAAGAATTAGAAAGACTCACCAAAGAACAAGACCGAAAAGAGAGAATAAGCGAAAGAGAACACATAAAGACCATCGAAATAGGTGAACAAAGGCAAAGAGAATTGCAGTTACAGATTAATCTAGAACAGATTAAACGTGATAATGTAGAAGAAGGCAGAACACCTCAAAATACAGAACCGCAGGAATCTACTACGATTTGAACGTTATGCCTCTACTCAAAGATGGAGACAAGAAAACTATGCAATGTACTAAAGCGCACTCCTAAAAGGTAAAGCACTTGAAGTATACACTCGACTGTCTGATACAGAATGCAATTCATACGAAGCACTGAAGTTGGGACTCTTAAAAAAATACAAAATGACAGAATATGGCTACAAAAAGAAATTCTACTCATCAAGTCCTGAAGATGGAGAAAGCCCTACCGAGTACATGTCTAGAATTGAGAATTATTTCATGAGGTGGATAGAACTAGCTGAAGTAAATAAAGAATTTGATGATATTCTAGACTTAATAGTCGGAGAACAATTTTTAAATTCCCGTGGAAAAGCCACCGCCACATTCATACGAGAACACAAAATAAAATCAAGAAAAGATGTAATCGAAGAAGCAGATAGGTTTTGTAAATCTCGTGGAATGAAAACGTTGACAGAAGATAACAGTGAATGCAAGAAAATATTTGACAAGTACAAGACATATGAAAAGACCAACCAGAAGAAAATAAAGGCGACAACAACAATGAAAAAGAGACGAAGGCACAAACAAAAGAACAGAAACTAACAGTAGAAACTGTTATCTATGTTTTAAAGAAGGTCATATCGCAAGAGATTGCCCTAAGTCCATAGCCAACAAAACAATAGCTAAGCTTGCAGCACTTCTAGTACAAGCAGATGCAGACAGCAACGAAGACTTGGAAACAAATAATCATTGACATCAATTTCAAAATGAAGAATATCCTTTAGACCAGAAAAGATTATTTCTAGGTTTACAATAACCAATTCAGTGTCAAATTATTCTTTTGGGAATATTTAAGGGTTTGGAAACAGATAGACTGAATACTGAATAGTGGTCATTAAGTGACGTGCAGTGACTGCATTATGCCACAAAATGCGTAAACATTTCTAAAATATCTTGCCATACTGCACATGGACCTTTAATTTCATGTTTTTTGCAGCTGTATATTTTGGTAATAATTCAAGATCAAGTAAGTAATAACGACTTCGGCAAGGCCAGGGCATTCGGAGACCATACGTTTCCCCATACCTGGGCTTTAGTTAAAAACTCATGCCTCATATAAACTAAGGAGGGGAGCAAAGTAACATATTTGATCATAGAAAGCGACACAAATATATAATTTATGCAATAAAAGTATGTTTTGTATGAGAAATCAACAAAAAAATGTATTATGATAAATTAGCATTGTTTTTCTTGGATTCATTGAACAACAGGGGACCAGCTCATCAGAGAACGACGCGAAGGTAACGCCTATCATACCAGTTGAATATCTCACCATCATAATACCCTATATCCCCTTTGGGGTCTACACAGAATCAACTGATAAACTAACAACATAATACCCTAAACCGACCATTTGTTTCTTAACCTAATAAACACCACACCACAACCTGATCGGACACAGCCCACAACTCGACATATATAACCTATTAGAACCAAACACAACCTAGATCACCAATCATGCAACAGTACAATAGAACATAACCCAGTGTCAAAATACACAGAACGCAATAGAGCATAACCCAGCACCAAAGCCAGCATGGATCAACCTGACTTACAACCACCAAAACACAACCAACTGTGAGATTAACACAATATGTCACAACCCAATAAT